TTCTGCAATGGAATATACATTGTTGAAATCTATATTGAATCTGATGCAGATGTATGAGTTGCCCTTCGTTGTTTCATATATTCCACAATGAAGTCATCAAAATAAATGCCAGACTGAAAAATATCCATCAGTATGAAACCTTCGTGTAAATGATTAATGCGCTTTATAACTTCATTCGGAAATATCACTCCGTGGCATTTACCGAAATGAAAAAGTAATATTACGGTAGAGAATTTGGTCGAAGGCTTCATCTTCCTTGACAATATAAATTAAAAATAACTTTTGCAGTCTGAATTGCCTTATACATGTTAGAACCTCAATATCCAGTAATTCATTCATAAATATCTTCCGAGAAAATTAAGAATTTCAGAAGATATTAATTTGAAAATCATTCATGGAAAATATTATTTATTTCCTAATGGAATTTTATCATAATATGAATATAAATCAGCACTTTATTAATACCGTACTAACTCATACGCCAAAAATGAAAATGATATTGAATTGTAAATTCATATCAATGATAATATGAGGAGTGGAAACTGGAAATAATGAAACAAATATACAATTGGATAAAGAAATTATAAATATTTGGTTCGATGTTTGAATGATGAAGTAATCCTGAATGATATCGAAATAATCGAATCATTTCACTGCAATAAAATTATGATTTCTCAGGTCGAAGATACATACCAATAATTGAATCACTCAGTTTATCAGACCGCAGAATCACTCAAAAATGTAATATGATCCTCCAGAGACCACAGCGGCAGACAAATAAAACGTTACCGACTCTGTAAAATTCATTCTGCTTGCATTTTCCATCAACTAATGAAAATGCTATTATCGCATTTCGGTTACCTACCAATCCAGCAAGCAGTACTGGTCCGAGGGTAATTGTTGCCCAGATTGCAGGCTATTATTTAATTATTTATCCACTATAATCTATTGACAATGTTCAGTTCTTATATATCTAACTTCAATATATACATCAAGAATAATTTCTCTAGTTTACACCCTTAATAGAACACAACGTTCTAGGGACGTCACTATTTGGTACAATTCAAGTCCGAATGTCCCGGACAAAGAATAAGTGTTCTTGGGACGTCCCATCCCGTACATCTCATGCAATGTCCGAGCAAGGACGTCCACGGAATGTCCCAGCTGGTACATTATTGCAGATAACCTAGAAATGTCCATGCATAAACGTCCTTGGCATGTCCCTGATGGGATATGATTTTAAACGTTCCTTTAGGGACATCCATCGGATGTCCCGAGTAGTACATATTCTCGCATGACTTCAGATCTTATTTAATGTCCCTTCTAGACAACCATGAAATATCCCTGAAGGTACATTCCTTCAAATATCTCTGTACAGACGCCATTGATATTTCCAGGATCGTATAACAATTGAAATGTCCCTCAGGGACATCCTTCGAATGTCTCTTAGGGATATCCGCCGAATGCTCTAATTGGTACATACCACAAGGACGTTCCTAGTCCTCAAGTGGGACATTTTGTGCGCCCCACAGACGTTCAATGGACGTCCACGGTACCAAATTCGAACGTCCTATGGATATCCTGAATGTCCAGACAGGACGTCCTAAGGATATCCATGGGACATAATTGTGTTATTAGGGACAGATTTCACTGGAATTTTCATTCAATGGCGCATCTGCCTCGTAGTAGATAAGATTTTTTTTTATGTTCTGGTTCCCACGAAAAGGGATATCCTGTAATGTTCAGAGAACATCGTGAGAACCGAGGAAAATAAGGTAGGAGTTGGTGATCTCCTTGAATTTCTGGAGGGGTTAATCTCGCGGGGACTGCCAAGGGAGGAACAATTGTTGATATTTCAGAAGAGCGCCGTTCATGAAAATATCTATGAAATAGAGCCAGATCGACAACTTTTCTACGGTGTCCCAGAGAAGTGAGTGAGTTTGTGAGCGAGGCATCACCCACGAGACGAATTGCCCTTTTTTGGACAGAATCCAACAGTTTCAGGGTATGTTTGGGTGCTGCACTCCGAATATGGGAACAGTATTCCAGGGCAGGTCGGATCTGTGCCATATAGATCATAAGCAACTGACTGGAAGTGAAATAGCTCCTGGCCCGAAACAGAAAACCAAGTTTTTGGGATGCACTTTTAGCAATTGATCTCACGTGATTTTCCCAAGAAATGTTGTTGCTGATAGTAATCCCAAGCATCGAAATGGATGTCTCCAAAGGTATGGTTACTCCTGACAAGCTTATGTGGGGCACAGTGAGATCGTCTTTTCTAGAGAAAAGGCATGTTTGTGTTTTGTTTGCATTGAAATCTACGTGAGAGCTTCCAATAACTACAGTGTGAAAAATCACCTATAGTACTGAACATTATGAAAACTGACCTTTTACAGTTCTGTGCCTCAAAATTGAACTACAGTTTATTAGTCAGATCTGAAAATTTTACTGTTTGTCAATCTAATGTTGCCAAATTTCTTGATCATCACAGCCGTATTCCTACATTTGTTCGCTAATATTCTTCGAAGAATGTATAATTATCTGAACTGACTTTTTTGTTGAATTACCATTGACATTTTCTGAGTACTTTGGGTTGGGCCGGTCCTGCTGGCACGCTTATATTCTTTCAATATTGTTCGTGTATAGAGAACACAATGCCCATTTGGCTGGAAAATGTTATTTCGATGGAAACGGAATTGTAATGCGGAAAATATTACCGATTAGAGTTTGTTTATGATGTGATGGAGGTCGATGATTGGACGGTAGCAGAGGTTTATTTTGTAGCTGGGAGGCAGATTTTGAAGTAGAACTCTTGTGAGTTTCTTTCAGAATTTTATTATATTCTCCTTATAAAAAGGTCAATATATATTCAACGAACTGATGGTTGATAGAATGTTATTATAAAATGAAAATATCTTCTGAAATACTCAGTTGTTTCTTCAGGGAGCGCGGATACTTTTGCAACTTGTTCAATGAATCTTATCTTTCCATGTACAAAAATTGTATACCATATAAAACTTACATACTCAGATACTCACATGATATTCATTCGTCTATATGTATTGACCTACCGAGTATATTTTTCTAAAATTTGGTATGGAGCTTATACTTGGGACGTTGCATTCATTCACCTATCGGGCGAAGTGAAAATCCAGGTTCGGCTTCAGGAAAAAATTTACATTTATTCGAATAATTAAAATAACACACTGTATGTAATGATTGACAGAGTTCATCAAAGGAATCGTGGAGAGGAGGAAAAACTGAACTGGATTTGATGCTTCTTGTTCTCCCGCCACCAATTCTCATCGTAACAATCATAAACAGGAAGCTAAAAGTATGTCAATTTCAAGAGTATTGAAATTATGAAACCACTTTTAATCATTATGATTATTTGATATATTTTTGTTAAATGATCGTTCGAGTCTGAGTCTGAGTCTCACAGTCTTTATAACAGAGATACAGGGTGAATAATTCAAATGCATCGATTATTTCGAATCCCAATAACTCGAAAACAGTTGCTCGCAGCGACCTTTACCAGGAAAATATTTTTCACACAAGAGTGTTCTAGAAATCTATTTTTCTACTATGAAACGTTATACAGGTACGCACAAAAAAGTTATGACTTTTCAAAAGACTCAAAAGACATGTAGGTGGCGCCACCCCCACGAAATCGACAAACTAACATAACATTTGATATTGTCATCGAAAATTACCCCTAGATACCAAATTTCATTCCAATATCACGATTACTTTGAAATTTAGTGACAAAAAACAATAGCTATTTGTGTATTTAGAGCGCAAAGTGATAGATTGCCGCTCGACAAAGAAAGTTACCGCGCGATGCGGAGCGGAGCGCGGTAATCTTTGGAGAGCGGCAATAACACGTTGTGCTCGAAATACACACAAGATTTTTTCTACTAACGCAGCTTTTGGAAATAACTGCCCTGAAAGTATGAGCGATTGAAATAGTTGAAAAAGTTCTTATCCATATTATCCCATATGTTCGAAGGAAACAAAAAGAGAAAAATTGAAATAACTGACAAGCCAGAAAAAAAAAGGCCGGGCCTACCGATAGTTGAAACTGGACCACCAGCGTGGCAACCTGAGCTTCAGACCTCTGAGCCATAGTACGATAAACTCTGTAATCAAATTGAACATTACTGATTGATGCAATAAAATTAAGATACACTGTCTTTCTGATGACAACAAAGAGTTTAAATATAAAGTAAAATTCATCGTTTTCCACAGATATGCTTCATCGGGAGCTTCTTGTAGAAATTTGTTGGTATATATCTTATCGGTGAATGTTTTGGATTTTTCTCGCTTTATATCCAATAGATTGTTTCTTGAGAAATGCGATAAGTTTCAGATACTTATTGATTCTGATATTATCTTTAACATTCAAGCATGTATATTATTATGTACCATGGAATATATAGACAAATGAGTTGATGACTTCAGAGTCTTTGATTTTTTACCAAAATAAGCCAGTAAAACGTTTTCTGAATACATATTCACCATCTCGGAGTGGCACCAATTTATGAATGTATCATATTGTAATTCATATTTCTTCCTTGATTTCTCCGGTAAGAGATTCAAACTCTTGCGCTTTCTGCTATATCTTCAGGAAGAAGGTGCGTTTGATAATTCACTGTCACTATTTTCCATCATGACAGAATTGGGGGTTTTCAAGTATAGGTTACAGAGATGTGCGAGCGTTTTTTCAATATTTCCGCTCACGAGCGCAAATGCTGTCAAAGAATGACATTTCTGGGAAAACGTCAACTTTGTGCTGGAATTTGAAAGCGTCAAAGGCTACTTTGTTAAGCGTTTGTAGAAAAAAATTAGAATTCAACTTTGACACTCTGTATCTTAAAAACGAATAACTTTCGGACATATATTTATACGAACTTTTCTCCATATTTTGAAGTCAGCAACATGCTCGTCAATTTTCTACACATACTTAAGAAACACCCTGTATATAGTGGTACGGTACTTACGGCTGGAAGAGCGAAAAAGGAGATGGCGAACACGCTGAAACAGGACGCGACGATCTTCCCCATCCACGTCCTGGGGACGGTGTCTCCGTACCCGATCGTGGTCACCGTGATGACGCCCCACCAGAGGGCGTCCGCATAGCTGGAGAAGCTGCCAGTGTTCTTTCCCCCCTCCTCCTCCACGGCGTCCTTCTCGGCCAGGTAGACGAAGTAGCTGCTGAAGATGAGGCCCAGGAAGCCGATGTACAGGGTGGTTATGAGTTCCTACAAGAAATTGAGTGTATTAGGGTATTGTCTGCTATTCTTAAAAGTTGTTGATATAATTGAAAAATAGAATAGGGCCCAATAATGATCCTTGCGGTACACCGCATACTATTTCATCGTTCTTACTGAATGATTCTCTTAAATATACGAATTGTTTCCTATCACTCAAATAATTTAGGTCCTGTTTATGTATTACATGGCAAAATACTGTGCACTGCGTCTGAAATTTGCTAAGATCTATTCTCCATAATGCAAGAAAAAAATTCAAAAAGTAACAAAACTAATAATTGCAGACTTCAAAGGGACTTTTTGGTACCTGTCGATGAATAAAGACGACTGATCCCAATAACCTCCAAGTCCCACCCTGTCGATCGACGTGCAGCATCCGAAGGATTTGCAAAAATCGAATCCCTCTGATGGCGGATGTTGCGAAAACTTGTCCATTGGAACCCAATGTGAGAACTACAATCGATGCTACTACCACTATTAAATCTGAAAGAATACAATGATGGTATATCAGGTCAAGGGTGGAGGTCAAGTCATTTGGAAATACATTCCACAACTTTGTGTAAAAGATGTTTGTGAAGTATTATTTAACATTTGTTCAAATAATCACTAGTCGTTTCGTGAAATGAAACAAATGTTTGTGTGTATCAGTTTGTGAAACATTTGTACATATCCATGTAGCGGAAAATTTCACAAAAATATGCACATCACCCAATGCACACAATTGTTTTGACTAAATACCTAACCCCGCACAAGTTTCGACTTATGGGGCGTTTGGTCCCAGCGCTCTGGGACTAACGAGTTATGCAATTGCGAAAAAAAAAATACACCGCTTTTGAAATAGTTACACTATTTGTGCAAGCAGTCCTCAATTTGATCATATTCATACATAGCTAAAAATCACAAAAAAATATGCACATCCTCCAATGCACAAAATTGTATTGACTAACTACATCTCCTTTGAAATAATAACACTATTTGTGTAATATTTTGCCACAGGTGTGCAATTTTCTTCCACTTGGTAACGGCCTACTATCAGGGCCTACTCTATAAAACCCTTCGAGATAAAGTGGATGTGTATCATACCGATTTGTAGGCAATTAAATTTCCTACAAAAAAGTCAGTGACAGCATATATCCACACTTGATAGGATTAGCATGGGAGGCGTCCAAACTTTTTGAACTATTCTGTAATGAACACCTGAATCATCGTTCTACTTGAATTGAAATATCGGTTTGTTATTGGCCCTTGGGAATTAAAAAAAAAATCAGTCAATCTAGATACTATGAGAAATCTTTTCATGATTGAATCATTTCTGTGAATTGAATATTGTAATTTTGGTAGCTGTTTGAAAAAGGACAATTCTGAATCGCGTCAATTAATTAGGATATGCGATACTTCTGAAACTAATGATCGTAATTCAGTGAAAGTTTATTCATCTTCTGGAAAATTCTGTTCTGTACATATTTGACCTCTTGATATTTTTTGCTAACTGTAACCGTTTTCCCGAGGTACATCAATGAAACGGGAGAGACAATTTCCACTGCGTTGATTTTGTCCCTACTAATGTGACGTCACGAAAGCGATGCTCCGGCCCGGTGAGATAGAGTAGGCCCTGGTACTATCCCCTTTTCCTACGACCTACTTATATCTCAATCTCAATATTCTGAATTCGAAGTGTTACAAGAAGGTTAAGAATGTGTAGTGTGTAGAATGTAGAATCTTCTCATTTACTATTGTCTGGCGAGTTGGTGATTGATTGATGATTGTACTTAATGATCATAGGTAGTCCTTCCATAAAATTATTTCATGTTTACTAGTGCCACGTAGTGGAAGATGTAATAAGATGTATCAACAAAGTGTAAATTTGATATTGTTATTGAAAAATACTCCTAGATACCAAACTTTATTATTCGAATATCACAATTCTTTTGGAATTTATCAACAAAAAACCAGAATAAGAATTCAACTTCGACACTCTGTATCTAAGAAACGAATAACTTCCGGACATATATGTATAAGAACTTTTTTCTCATTTTGACGTAAGCAACATGTTCCTGAATTTTCTACACGTACTTAAGAAACACCCAGTATGAGTAGGTGGGTAGTATTCAAAAATTCTCATTTCTGTCTACTCATCTTCATTGTGCATTTTTTTTTTATTTATTTATTTATTTATTCTCATATGAATACATTTACAAAGACATACATATTCTAATATTATAAAAATTCTAAATTTTATCTACTTCACATAGGTTATTGACCTGTGTGTGAATTAGATAATTATTATAAACTTTTTGTAAAAAATTTTCAAGTTCTTAAAAATATTTAGATTAAATATTGATTATAAATTCAATATATACAAAGCACACAAACAAAAAAAAAAAAAAAAAAAAAAAAAAAAAAAAAAAAAAAAAAAAATTATTTGAAGAGATTATCAATTTCTTTTGCATTATCCAAAAACCAAATTTTAATTTTTTTTTTGAATGTTACAATATTCAAACGTCTCAATTTTAATGGAACTCTGTTAAAAATTTTTGACCCAATAAAACTACTATGGTTTTGCATGATTTTGAGATTATGTTTTTCAAGTTGAACATTATCATTTCTTGTACAATAATTGTGACTAATTTTATTACTAAATGCAGTGTTTTTTTTCAAGAAATTCAATGATGCTTTATAAAATAATTGTTTGACATTCAGTATATGATTATCTACAAATAATGAGGATGATGGATAATCCAAAGGTTTGCGAAAAATTATTTTCAAAACATATTTTTGAATACTTAATAATGGTTTGAGATGAGTCTCATACATACCACCCCATCCAATGATTCCATATGACAGAATAGATTGAAAAAGTACATGATATAACATTATGATTAAATTTCTATTAACAATATTTCGTAAAAATCTGAATTTTGGAAGAGTACTTCTGAGCTTCTTAGTAAGTTCTGAAACGTGATGATTCCACTTTAAATGTTGATCAATATAAATTCATTCATTCAAGACATATTTTTCTCATTATATTCATTCGAAGAGCACTTTCTGCTGCAAGTAGTCGCACAAAAGTAGGCACTTAACGTTCTCTTGGCGCGAATGTAGATTCACAGAGTCTTTTAAAAGTTCTTCCATGTGAAACTGGCAGTATGGTTGAATGAGTGTTCGTGATAGTGATGTGGCATAAGCACCATTGTAAGCACCAAAGCACCTCTACGAAAGGAAAAAAAGGAAAGGGTTTAATTGACTATATCGATCAGACCATTTTCTATATTATGCTCATGGCTAGCTTGTTTGTTTTGATATATCGGGTGATGGTCACAAAAAAACCGGAAGTTTTTATTTTCCTCGTGGTTTCATCATTTCTCAACCGAATTCGAATTTCTTGGCGTCGTTTCATAGCTAAAGGGCTATAGTATACAGTGGAATATTTGAAAATTTCATAATGAACAAAAACAAAATGGCGGATTCTACCAAAGTATTGTCATTTACAAAAACCGCTGGAGAAAAAGAAAATGAGATTTTTTCCAATTTTCATCGTATCAGCAGGTGACCATCTTTTCCAATACATTATACAAGGTATTAATCATGTATGTAACTTCTAGGGTGGAAAAATTCATGAACATACCACACATAGCTCAGTGAATGCATTGTATTCAAGAAAAGAAAAAAAGTCCCTGATTTCTATTAATAACACTTTCACTGCAATATTCCAATAAAATTGGATACGATATTTTTGCGATATTTAGGAACAACCGATGTTTTGAAAACCCTTTGACATTCTGTATATGTATAAACCAATTACTCAAACATTTCGACTCAGAATCACCTGAAAAGTCACCCCTCAAATTTGGCTGTGGACTCACCTATTATACAAATAGGCTTTCTGATGAATCGAAGTCTTCCCCAGAATCCCATGTACTTTGATCTGCATCCTGCAGACCAGAGTCGCACCAAGTATTCAACTCCGAAAAATAAAACTAAACATATCTCCTGTAACAAAAAATCATTCAGATTAGATTACCCCCTCATAGACTTACTTTAACGGCAGAAAGTTGTATTGTAATGCCTTTAAAATTATATAAACATCTACCAAATGATCTGAAGAATATATCAAATTTCTATATTTTCAAAAGTAAAATAAAAATTCTTCTACTGCAGTACTCCCTTTATTCGGTAGATGAATATTTTAATTTTAATTTCAAATTTTAAAAATAATGTTGGTGCACTGTTCTTTCATGTATATTTACCTTGTGTTTTTACTCAATATCTTATTTGTGGATATACTTATAATGTATCTTGTATTCATTAATTGGTGTCCTTTTTACCTAGCACTTAGTATTTAGTAGTAGTTTTTAGTTTTTAGTGACTTGTCCACATGTCATGTAATTTGACCATATTTGGAATGAATAAATGAAATGAAATACAAATTGGTGCAAAATCATCATAGGTATAACTGCACGGAATGATAGTGATTTCCTACGAGAATGAAGTTGCAATCATTCGGGTAGGAAATTAGCATTCCCTGCAAGTTATACACTCTAATTTTTCTACGGCTATAATAGATACCAGCAGCATTTTCGATTTCTTCGTCTTGTAGCAGAGATGTATAGAAATTTAACCAGTGCGCTTGCTCCCTACTGAAGGTCGTTTGCAAGTTTCTCGATGGCGCCTACTCTGATAAACCTTTGATAAACATACTTGACGTGGGTGAATCTCGCTAAGCTCATCCTGGTTACAATCCATATTTACAGGAAACATATTACCGACCGATAAATATTTGGATACGTATATGATTTGGATCAGAGCAGTGAACTGATTCCTGATCAAAGGATCGAAACGTCAATATGTCAAAAATATTCTTGAGCTGAAAAAATGGTTATTTCTCAGATTGGGGTCAAGTGTTCGTTAGGGACGTGTTCCGTCGTTTCTAAATTTTGTGTATAATACCTAATCCACAATAGAAAAAAGAAAATCTCTGTTCTACAACAGTATTATTTCAGTGATTTGAAATATTAGTGTGAACTGGTGTGAATAAATTCTAAGGTGAGTACCAGTTACCATATCTGCCTATTATGATTTTCGATATTAGTCTATTTCAATAGTTGATACATTCTTTGTTCTGGTTCTTCAAAGAGGAAATTCATCAGATTTCATGCTTTAAATAGGTTCATGTCATGAAAGAAGTGAAGCTCATTAAAATCGGCTACAAAAAAGATTTCTTGCTTCTATTTCAAATTGAAATTTGAATGAAAATGTTGAGCACATTATTTATTCGACCACAGAACAATGATGGAAATAGATTCATCCCTCACCTCACAGAACCAAGGTTTTGAACGATTTTCCGATTATGGCGCCTCTATCGCAAATACCTGAACCCCACGTCCAAAACTCGCTTGCGCAATTGTTCCATATCGAGAGTTAGTCTGACGAAACAATTGAAGAGTGAGCCCACCAGTTAAATTTCTATACATCTCTCTTGTAGCCATCTGATTTCCTGTCAAGTAATGCTCATCTATTAGACAGAGTTGTCATTGCCTGTTATTGATGAAAACTAGATGAAATATGATGAAACAAAGAACGAAATGTTTATAAATATAAATGTGAATTCTGATAATATTGATAATACCTTGGTAGAAAATACACACTTTACGTCTTTAGAAAGAGTAAATAATGATATGTTCCATAGCTAGTTCATGGAATAATTAGTTTCTGCTCATTTCCGAGTACCTAGTGGAATTCCAAAACAATTGTCAATAATGAAACAAAACAAAATGGAATTTATGCATTAACGAATATTTGTGTTGATTCCAATATGAAATACGCTATAGGCACTTCTGATAATTGTAATTACCGCCACCAATTGCTGCTAGATGAAAGCAGGCAAATATCATAATTACTTTGTTCGAAACTATTCCAATATGATCTATATAATACATATCATGATGTTCATTTGACGTTGTGAGCATTTATTCTCGCCTAATTGATCAGTTGAAGCACAGATAACCAGATCGAAGTAAATTTCATTGCCTCAACAAATTATCAATAATCTCTATTTGGTTTGATCAAGATTCTATTTGTTAGAAATCAATTATCAGGCTAAACATATACCTTGCTGACTTGCTGGTTTGTATTGCCTTTTTCTTGTTTAAAATCTCTTTGGAACGTTGTTTACTATGTATGAAATGGAATGGAGCGAGATTGTAATGCTTTGTATGCCAATGCACAATGCACACAGCAATCGCATTGAAAATACATGGGTTTGAAATGTATTCACTCTGGATTCTATTTCATTGAGGTACGAATTGAATGAATGCGGACTGGGTGGAAGTTTTATGCTTTGAGGCAAGTAAACAACTCTTGTGGAATATCAGTGCAGATATTCCCCCAGATCATAGAAGATATTCCATAGAATGGATTGAATGAGATGTAACATTTGATCAGAGGTTAGAGGACACCATAATTGATATCGTTGAACCAATGGTTGACTCGACTCCCATCAAAAGTTAATGTTAAGTTAACTTTTAAAATCACCTTGTACAGTGTATAGACACTTCACATCTATATAAATCTACAATCTTATTCCACTTCCGATAGTCTCAATACTCCCAATTCCCTTCTTCAAACCATATCACGTCTACAATATTCCCTAGTGCATGTTCTGGATTTTATCTTTGAACTTCACTTCATTCATGATTCAGGAGATTTCAATGTTGGCAAAGAGACGTACCAACTGCTTTTTCCATTCGAAATGGCACGTCATTGCCACGTTGTTTTGCATTCAAACATATACTTTGAAGGTATTTTCTCATACAGTAGATATAAACTGCTCAACACATGAAACGTAAAATCGCATTTTTTTGATCAAATTTGAATCATCATAACTTTCGATTTTCTCAACCGATTGCCAATTATTTTTCAGTTTCTAAAAGCTCGTTTCATTGACTAGCGAACCTATGGATATGACTATTTCATCTTTTCCGGATGAGATTCTACAGGATGATAATCAAAGCTGTGCATTTTTCCAAAAATTTCAAACGCCTTCCGTTTGAAAGAAAAATTTTTCTATTATTTTTTGGGGTCAGAAACATATTGCTTCATATGTTTTCTCGATACTGTGAAAACATTTTTGGAATTGTCACACGCGTTACTGAAATATGAATGTTTTATTAAGATGATGCATAATTTGATGCTCTAATTTCTATTGACTTTGTGTTCCTGTCAATCTGGTTCGAATGGTGGTCAAAAATCTTGAAATGATGCATGATCAACCTATTCTCATATACAGGGTGGTCCTCAAACAACAATTATGACATCAAGTAATGAAAACAAAATCTTGGTTTGACGAGCAAGAAAATTTCGAAGCAGGAAACCGATTGAGAAGTTTTCTGGCGATCAAAGCGTGTAGGAGAGTTTGTCATCACCATTCCAAGTTGCTACAGAATCTATTGCAAGATCAAACCACTGGAATTGTTAGAAAAATCGGATTTTCAGAGCGTCGTTCTCACTTTGTGATAGATTTTTAGAAGATAATTTCAAGGAAAATGAGATAGACTGAAGAACTATACAGGATGTCGTCTAAATAAAAATAGTTGCTGCCGAGACATACCATGCAACTGCAACATATATTTTCCAAAGTGGCAACGATATTATGAGATTATGATTAGTTTGTGAAAATTCGGGAATTAAAGATGGTGGATCCAATATGGCGAACGAGTTTGCAATTATGATCCGATTCTATTCAAAATTGGTATCTGGGGGATTTTCGGGGTAAGAGATTTTGATTCTTTCGCCAAAATTAGGACATTGAAGATGGCTGATTCAATATGGCGGACGAGTTCCGTTATTATGATCCGATTCTATTCAAAATTTGTATCTGGGGGGTCGAAGATCATGATTGTCGAACTAAAAAGGAGTAGAATGTGAATAAATAGTTGGAAAAACTAAGGAAACACGTTTTTTATGGATAGCAAAACTGAAATGAAGTAGAAATCAAATTAATGAAAGTGTGTTGATAAATATTCAACTAACAAGATATTTTCTAGAAATAAATGTAGATATATAGCAAAACAACGTTTGCTGAGTCAGCTATTATAATGAATAGTGATTTGAAAATCCAATGAAACACGCCTTTATAGACATCCAAACTAAAAAGAAGTAGAAAATGAATAGAATAGTTTGAAAAACTAAAGAAACACGCTTTTATGGATAGCCAAACCATAGATCTAAATGTGTGTAATAATAATTTTTTTTACAGTATCGAGAAAACATATGAAGTTTTTGACCCCAAAAAATAATAAAAAAGTTTTTCTTTTAAACGGGAGTCGTCTGAAATTTTTGGAAAAATGCACAGCTTTGATTATCATACTGTAGAATCTCATCCAGAAAGGATGAAACAGTCATATCCATAGGTTCGATAGTCAATGAAACGAGCTTTTGGCGTTTGAAATTTTTGGAAAAATGCATAGCTTTGATCATCATCCTGTAGAATCTCATCCAGGAAGGATGAAACAGTCATATCCATAGGTTCGATAGTCAATGAAACGAGCTTTCAGAAACTGAAAAATAATTGATAATCGGCTGAGGAAATCGAAAGTTATGATGAATCAAATTTAATCGAAAAAATGCGTTTCATGTGTTGAGCAGTTTATTTTCTATGAATGATGTTCATGGGAAAATAGCGTTTGCCATGTCAGCTAGTGAAGTATATTTATTTGAAATCAGAAGAAAGAGCTCTACCGATAAGGAAAATTAAATACAACATTTCCAGGTCCACGATGCTTCTTTGAATTTTCTAGTAAGTACCTACTATAGATTCTGAATGCACATAAAAAATACTACACTTTTGCCCATTTGAACGTTCCTCTTAAATACCAATATCAACTGAGAAAGCTATTGAGTGAAATATGAACAATCACCCTTCACCTATAAATAAATTTTCGACAATATTGAATTCTTTCGAACCCATTAGTAGCCGTTCCTTGACTGATGAGGTGATCGATGATCACTTTGCCGTTTGTTTGAAAATGTTAAAATCGAATACATACCTAATGAGAATTGATGAAAAGTTTGTTTTACTCACCATCCAAAATAGAGTTTCGTTGGCGAAATTCGAATATGTATCTATAGTTGAAAGTACACTGAATATAAGACACACGAGCACCAACATGAATCTGAAACAAACAGCACATTTTCAATTAAATTCAGAAAAATACATGGAAGATATATCCGTTACACAGTTAATAGTACAAATTCAATATGAGTAATTGATCAACAAAAATGTTCAAATATAATATTATGAAATAAAAACAAAATCCATGTAGTATATTTCATATACGGGGTGAACCGTTCTAAAGATATAAGAAATCATCAATGATTTCTGCAAATGGAATAGATACCCAACTTCTCAGTCACTATTAAAATTCTTCAAAAAAGTTCAAGCGGAAAGATATACACACTATGCAGTACTCAGATTTAGTTCAAATAACACGCTCATATAATCGCAATTCTCATGCAAATAGCTACATTTTTTTTTCTTATACTCTATACAGGGTGTTGCGAAATTCGACCGACAACGCTTGACAGGTGATAGTCCTCGTGATAACATAATCACTGAGATAGGGACATACAGTCTTCAAGTGTTCAGTTCTCGAGATACAGGGCGATAAAGTTAAGAAATAAAAATAGTTGTTCCGCAATATATCAAGAAAAATTGAATATAATGTCAACTTCGGTATATGGTTTCATCTTTGAATGGGTCATTTTTTGACCAGGAAACCATTCCGGACATTTTATCCAGTGGCCCTACAGGGGGGTGTAAATTGCAATCATTTCCATTCCCCGAATTCATTGTTCAGTTATGTTGAAAAACTGCAACATCTTGAACTGAGCTGAAATGAATAGTTTTCGAAATATTCGACTCAAAATAGGAGATTGCATAGTAATATTTCATCATTTTCAGTAGTAGAAAATTGCAAAAATATTTTTCTGGTGTTGAGTAGATTAGATACTATTCAGATCTCATTCTGTAGCTGAACAGAAATAGTTATTCCACGTTCAAAGAGAAAACAAAAATGTTTGTAATCTTCTACTACTGAAGAAGATGCAAAATTACTATATGCAAACTTCAATTTTGGGTTAAATATCTCGATAACTGTTCATTTTAGCTCAGTTGAAGATGATGCAGTTTTTCAACATAATTGAACAATCAATTCAAGAAATTAGAAATAATCGAGATTCCATTAGTGGCGTAGAAAATATGCGAGTTAAAGCTATCACAACCCTCTGTAGCGCACCTCTGGGTAAAATTCTCGGAATGTCTTTCTGGTCAAAATATCAACCATTGCAAGATGAAACCATATACCGAATTTGAATGCATTATATTCAATTCTTCTTGAGATATTGAGAAAAACCTATTTAAATTTCTTAACTTCAACGCCCTGTATCTCGAGACCTGAACACCTGGAGACGACCTGTCAAGCGTTGTCGGTCGAATTTCGCAACACCATGTATACAATATTTTCTTTAAATTATGAATGCCCGGGAGCAGATACGAAAAACAAATACAAGGAAAACATGCCATAAATGTTGAACAATCTGTTTGTATCTCCAAGGGAAAACATTCCTGAAGAATTCATTCCGTGAATCCTCTCAAGTAAACCGCAATTGTATAATCTATTTTTATAATACAAGAAAGAATAGAGAGTTGGTCCTCTTGGATATCCAGAGGCTCATTTAATAGAATTACCCCTTTTGTAGACATAATTATTAAATAATAAGGTAAAGAATTCTTTGGAAAACTTAATTAGTCGTCAGTTTCTCAACTTGATTTCAACCTTTTTGCTTGGGTGGATTCCATATTCCCTGGTTCCGTTAACTGTATATATTCTATATCAGGCATCCTGGCATACCTGTTCAATTCATCCATTTCGGACGATCAAATTTCTACATTTCAAAATGAACTCAAGGATCATTTATTTGACAAAATATAATCTACAGTCATTTTCGGTTCAGACGAAAAATAGACTCATCTCACGGAGGACCAACTACAATATTTAGGAAACTGCGATATCAAAAACTCCAAAACCACTTCCCCTCGACAATCACATATATCTCCCATAAAGTAGTCTCTCAAAGTAGACTAGTTAGTCATGAATTTTCTTTGATATGAAATGAATGAACTCGGATCGAAATATCTAACTGTTTGGTTTTATCTTATTGTTATCGCCGAGGAAAAAAACACATGGTCTGAAGTATTTAATACTATTCACTGTGTCAGATATTAGTGAATCAACTTATTATGTGTTTCTCTATCTGTTAAATCAGTTGTTCTTATATGACTTAAATCTATGATTCTCTCAAGTGAATATACATAGTGTGAATCAACTAGATCCCCTAGAGATATTCACATTCAAGGCGAATATTTCCTGAAGATTTTCACTTTAGAACGAATTTGTTTCGAACTCTCATTAGTCTCATTATCATTTCCACCGGTGATACTGGAATATAAGTTTTTGCCAATTATGGGACACCCTGTACTCTGCATAATGAAGCATAGAGCATAGAGACGATCGTCTTTGGGTACGACTCAGAAAGAATCCTTATTGATCGCCAAAAATCCTGTAGTTCAAAGCTCCGAGGTCTAAAGCTCATAACAACTTCAATAAAGAGCAGACTGCAGCTTTCTCACTCACTACAATCATCTAAGATCAACATACTACAAGGAGGTAATAGAATACTGTACGCCCAGAAAACGGATAGGTTTAATTAAGGGAAGGAATGATTCATTTGACGGGAGAATGGAGAGAATGGCTGTTAGTGATAGGGATTTCGATAAAGCAAAGTTATTGGAACTTCTTTGATTCAACACAGACATGATGATTACTGATGATGTTTTATTTGATGAAATAAATGTGAGACTTATGGATTTAATATAACAAAGTTATAAAGAACCACTTTGATTCAACTCATGATGATGATGATTCATTCGAATTTTAGTAAAAGAAACAAAAAGTATTCACTTGATTCAGTTAGAAAACCTCCATCATTCTGTTCTTTATTATTGGTAGTCATGTAATAAAAAAGGCAACAAACATTTCAAATATCACCCTGTCCGTCGAACGAATGCTACTGGTGCGTTTATTCTAAATTTGTTGTCCTTCAAATAAAGAACCAGCTCATCAAGTTGTGTTTCATTTGATTTATATCGAATTCGGTAATTATTATTCAACCAATAGTATCCCTCCGCCTAAAGAATAGTAAATATGACACTTGTGTGTCCTGCGACTTCAACACTTGCTCTTCGGTGACTGTCCTAACGGTGGCGTCATCGAAGCGCAACCAACAGCTATTTTTCATTTGGAAGGCATCGGTAAAATAGTGGCCCCTAGTTGCCTAATCGCCGACGTGGTAGACCACGGCAAACAACATATACTTTCTTCCTTCTGGCGTTTGTGACTTCGAAGATAACAACCTCGATTCGATTTCTAGGTCGACCGTCTGGCTTGAAATCGAAGAATTTCAGAGGCAGAATGAGGATAACTGGTAGCATATCCAACATCAGTCGCTGCCACACCTGTACCACTTAATTTGTGTTAGAAGAAGTCAATCCTTCCAGCAGTAATGATTAACTCTTAACAACGCAGAACGACTGTCATATCTATCATTCTTCCAACTTTGATAGTTAATATCTTCCGTTGGTGAAAAGTTATCATGTTGCGGTTTTTGTTGGTCTGTAGAGATTTAGTTCTCTATTACATCCTGTAATGATATGCATACCATTAGATTTATTCTACCTCAGACTTGTATCATTATTCGTTGCTGAGATATGGCCGACAGCCGTTCATTGGTGTTCACCCGGTACATGTAGTAATCTCCTCTGTCCATGCTCAATAGATCTGTTCAAACTATAAGAATAAAAGTATTGGAACTCATTCATGAGCATGAAACTTTGGAAGTAAATGGAAACCTCCTTGGTCGATGCAGCAACATGCAATGTATGTTTAAAGTAAATACGAATCCACAGGAATTGTCGGTTCTGGAAGTTTGCCTAAAATCATTTGCTCTGGCAGAAAGCTTTACAGAAGAGCACGGAATTTCCCTTTGAAGTTGAGGTAGCCAGATATGAGTAATTAATTATTCAACCATTGATATTATTGATTGCCAGTACACGCATCGTGTGGAAGTTTGAAATTGTGAAACTGAAATGAAAGATAACACCGAGATAAGGTTAGGAAAGTAAAATGGTTCGTTTTTTTATGTTTTGGTTCCCACGAAACGGGATACCCTGTAATGTTCAGAGAACATCGTAAGAACCAAGGGAAATAAGGTAGGAGTGGGTGTTCTTCTCAAATTTCTGGAGGTTATATGCCTAGGGGAACACCTCCTTTGGCAATGTGTATCAGAGCCTCGCTGTTCATTGGATGAACGAGTCTTCGGAAAGAGATGTTCTGCAGCTCTCCAAAGACCACGAAGGGGTGCGATGCCTCAACTCGACGGGTTAATTCCACAGGGACTGCCAAGGGAGGAACACTTGTTGATATTTCAGAAGAGTCATCGTCCATGAAAATATCTATAAAATAGAGCCAGACCGCCAACTTTTCTACGGTGTTCCAGAGAAATGAGTGAGTTTGTGAGCGAGGTATCACCCACGAGACGAATTGTCCTTTTTTGGACAGAATCCAGTAGTTTCAGGGTATGTTTGGATGCTGCTTTTCAAATATGGGAACAGTATTCCAGAACAGGTCAGATCTGTGCCTTATAGATCATGAGCAGCTGACTGGAAGTGAAATAGCTCCTGGCCCGAAACAGAAAACCAAATTTTTGGGATGCACTTTTAGCAATTGCTCTCACGTCATTTTCCCAAGAAAAGTCATCGCTGATAGTAATACCAAGCATCGAAATGGATGTCTTCAAAGGTTTGGTTACTTCTGACAAGCTTATGTTGGTTGTGTTTTGTTGCATTGAAATCTACCAAGTTATTGGATCCCCATTCGGGAATTGTTGCCAAGTCCATATTTATGCTGTCAACATTTCTCCCTCGTTCGTTTCTGATTTGGTGACTATCAATATGCTCCGTAATATAAAAACGCATAATGTATGTAGTGAATTCTATCAGCGTATTATATTTTATGCTGCTCATTGAATACCCTGATCTGCATAATGCCAAGCATAACAGCGCCTATCCACTGGAATTTCAACAAACCTCCCAAGTTGTGCAAACACTGACGTCAGTAAGGCCCTTCAATTAGCCCTACTTCAAATCGGCCATTGATGATCCATTGTTTTCTATCACAATAGTTATTGATATGCAGAAACGGTGATGTGCGTCCTCAATCGGTGTCACGTGGATAGACACAATTGAATGCGAACAGAGACGATCAATTCAGAAAATTATGAGGGGGAAAACCTTTCCATTTCGATCACGTAAAAGTACTAAAGGAAATGTATTTCATGAACTAAGCGCTTGCTATTGTCTATGGTTGAATGTGAAGGGCATTGATGTTCAACCAGGAAGGGTTTCCCCCTTCAACTAACTGTTTGAATACAGTGTGTGCGCTTGTTAAAATGGAATCCGCGTTGAGTTCCTTATTTTTCAGAGGACTCCTCGAATTTTGTCATTGCTCATCAACGAATCGCCAGATAAGAGTGCATACACTGAGGGGAACTATTTATACAATTTCTATTTGGAAAAATCTCATAACTGCCAATTGAAATTGAATATTCCATATAAAATCATCTTCGATAGTTGATATCAACTTCAAGCATAAACTTAATGTTGAAAATACTCCTCAACAAAGAATATATTCATCAAGATCAATGCATTCAACCCACAACCTGCTGTGGTACCGCCGACCTAGTGATCTGCACGTGCATCCTCTTTTTGTAAGCATTTTCAATGCCAACCAATCACCCAGTCCAACTGTGGCCACGCCTTTTTCAGATTGACCTTTCAGAGAAAAACGCATGGGATTTATGTCTTGGACTTGGATGCTCATCGCTTATCTACTAATAACGACATTACAAATAAAGAGTTCAAGCCGACTAGGATGGTTTGATGATGAAGGCAGATCATTATGTTCTAGTGTAGAAAGTTGGGTCAGCACCTAAAAATGAAAATCTTTTTCATAATCTAGCTGAGGAATTTCCATGTAAGATCGATGAGGTTATATAAGAGTACCTAATATTTCACCAGTCATTTCAAGGATCTAGCAAAATAATTGTTGCCGGCAAACGAAAAATAAAAATTGATGATTCACGCCACGGAGTTCCGTGACTAATCTGCGATACAGTATCAAAACTCCGCCTGCCGAAAACTTCATGTAATCATTATGCAAATTCCGATTCCTGTAGAGAAAAAGGGACTGAACCAACTCAGGAGCATGAAAATCCATAACAGTTGGAAATTTTCTTTCATAGTGCATGAAGTAGATGATGTAAGATGGTTCACAGAATGGATTATACTTTTATCACATTCTGATAAGTACCGTTTTAACATCAAGTCAAATTGCCTTCTTAATGATTGTAACATCGTAGTAGCAATTGAAAAATATCATTTTTCTGCAACCGACACAAAAGTCGTCCATTTTGATACCAAAATTAGCTCTTAAATTGACGTTTCTATTACTGACACAAAAATAGGTATGTTGCTAGGCAACATATTTAGTTCCTAGGAGCTAAAGTTGAACTTTAGCTCCTAGGAACTAAAAAGGATGTACTGGACGTCATCAAGAATAAACAACATTGTGACGGTTGAGTGCATACCTGATTTGTTTCCGATTTCAGCAGATTTGGCATTTCATATACCCATGCTGGAGATATAAATACACCTTATTATAGTTTAGTATAGGAATAATAAACATCTCAGTTAAGTATTTTTGTTTTGATCAGGAAAGCCTTCAAGATTCAAATACTTGCTTGATCTGTATTTCATTCGTTATTCTCGGGATGGATAACTTGTTTTTGAAAAATCACGGCAAGCAATAGTTTTTTTGTCTCAAACAACGATATTGTTAAGCTTCATTCGATTATCAAGTCAAACACAGTGTAGTATGGAGAGGAATAACTGACTAACCTAACATTTTCCACGTCTTGTTCCTATAGCTGGCACTGGAGCGGTATTGCCATTAGAGCACCTGGTCCATGCACAAATATGTCACTCTGTGGTTGAATTTATATTGAAACTACAATTCGAACATCCTAGAAAACCTAACCTGCTGTTAATGCAGGTAGAATATTCTCACCACATGGATTATTTGTTAATATTTGTTGCATTGCATACATATGGCACGGCATTGGTGGTTACTTCACATGTTCATTTGAGTTAATTGTTTCGGTTGCAGAAGAAATAGTATGTTTCATTCGGATCAAAAGTGACTTTGTTCGATTCGCAAATTTTGCTTTCGCTCGGCTTCGCTAAACGCTCCGCCTCGCAAATGCAAAATTCGCTTGTCAAACAAAGTGTCACTTTTGATCCTAATAAAACAATCTACTATTAGATTTGCAGTTTCCTGTCATGAACTATGACAGTTATGATTATCAGACTGATAAGGGTGTGTGCAAATCCTTTCGCATTTTCCAATACAAATTGTCACTGACAAGCTAGTGAATTTTTCTTTCAGGCTCTCTGATAGGAAAATTCTTTAAACGCAGTGACATTTTGGGGCAAATCATCTGATTTTTCCTCACTACACGTATATTGAAATAGTATTCATATTTTTATTTTATAGAGACGAGGAGAAAAAATCCCCAAAATAAATCTGGAATGATGAGACTCTTGTTGAGTGAATTTCAACATAGTTTACCGATCTTGATATCCATCATTAGTTAGTTCTTCAGCTATTTTGTCGATTCAAAGAGTAGAATAGCATTTTTGGTTTTTCGTCCCAGCTTTGTATACATTTGTCTACCACATGTGTTTTTTCCTCAGTAGCATTTTATCTTTGTAATTTTCGGAAACTATAGTCACTTACTATGATTTGATTGATATTATTTCGTGGTCGACCGACTTGATGTTTTGATTGTTTTTTGTTGAAAAATTTGACCACTTTGAGAAGGATGGATGGCTTCCATGACTCACTAATATTTTGTTAGAATATATTGAGTTCTTGATCATTGGCCCAACTGACTTGTTTCGTTCAACGAAGGATTAATATTACTGTTGACCTTGAACTTGTAAGTGCATATTCGTAATTATATGTAATCGCACTTTTTCTTATCTGAATGGCTATAATAGAGAATGTATAACAGTAAGAACCGAATTGAAATGGAAGAATCTAGATCTTAGGTTTTCGGTATAATCAATCAAAAGGATGTAGATTTCAAGAAAGTTTCCTCGATTCTACAAGAATATTGTTTGGTTTCATTTTTATAACTTTATACAATTCTTTTTTGAAATTATGGCGATTTTCAAATGATAGTCCTAATTAGTTATGATATCTACAGTGTGTCCAATTAGTTTGTAATTCTTATAGATATCTCGTACATAATCAAATGTAGAGAGATAACAGTGTTCTTCCATTTCGATGCTTGGTATTACTATCAGCTATAACCTTTCTTGAGAAAATCATGTGAGATCAATTGCTGAAAGTGCATCCCAAAAACTTGGTTTTCTGTTTCGAGCCAGGAGCTATTCCACGTCCAGTGATCTATAAGGCACAGATCCGACCTGTCCTGGAATACTGTTTTTATATTTGGAGTGCAGCACCCAAAAATACCCTGAAACTGTTGGAGTCTGTCCAAAACAGGGCAATTAGTCTCGTCTGTCATTCCTCACTCACAAAGTCACTCACTTCTCTGGAACACCGTGGAAAAGTTGGCGATCTGGCTCTATTTTATAGATCCTTGGCAGTCCCTGCGAGATTAACCCGTCGAGTTGAGGCTTCGCACCCCTTCGTGGTCACTTTGGAGACCTGCAGAACATCTCTTTCCAAAGACTCGTTTATCCAACGAACAACGAGGCTCTGGAACACATTGCCAAAGGCGGAGGTGTTCCCCGAGGCATATAACCTCCAGTAATTTAAGAAGAACACCAATTCCTACCTTATTTCTCTTGGTTCTCACGATGTTCTCTGACTATTACAGGATAACCCTTCTCGTGGGATTCACAACATAAAAAAAAACCGGTATTGCTTGTAAATTTGGGGATATATTTGATTTTGCTCCAAAACCCAACTCTCAAACAACGATTACAGTCAAATATAGTTCGTTTTGTTCACAAATCAATGCCATTTTCGGTGAAAAGTGGATACAACCGGTTTTGCACGCGACCTCCTCAAATTTATACTCACACAGAAAAGTGATAGATAAAGCACAGCCATCCGCCGGGATGCTCGAGGAACACGTACGTCCTCTCCTGGCACGTCTTCCCCTTCTTGTGGTGGAACACGTACTTCGTCTTGAACGCCTGGTCGATGGGCAGGTAGATAGGGTAGTAGGGGTCTGGCACCCCCCTGGGCACGTCAATTTCCGCGCCGACGATGTCGTCCACCTCGTCGACGTCATCGTTGGCCGTCTGGTCAGCCAGGATTTTCTCCTTCTTCTCTTTCTTGCGCGACCGCTTGATAGGGGTTGGTACCCTGCGATGGCGGGGTTCTGCGAAATGGGGTGGTTTCTGGCCGCCCCGCAGGCGGTGCAGGAAAGGCAGCTTCTCGGAGTAGTCTTCATCGTCGGAGGTCGGTTTGCACCTTGGGGTGGGGTGCGGTGAGTGGGGTTGGGGGTTGGGGCGCGTCTGGGGGAAGATAGCTCAACGGGGGTTGTGTTTAAGTTTTCGGGGATAACATTATTCATTGTGCACCGATTCGCGCTACTGGAACGTTAGGTCAAAGTTGGTAGAACTGATAATAGTATATTATGTAACAAGTGTTATAAACGTTCTTTTGGCAACGAGTATTTTAAGTACGAGCGGAGCAGAGCGAGTGTCTAATGAACGAGTGTCTAGAAGAGTTGATAAACGCGGTACATACTATGCTTTTTCTACGAACTCCAAAAAATACATCAACATACCTGCTATTCCTGCAAACCTACAAAATAATTCGAAAGGAAAGGGAATTGAGAACATAATACATGCAACTGCAAGCAACCATCGAGACACGTATAAGTGCTATTGGTTGTAGATGTGTCCAGTTCATTGCTTTTTGTTTCACATTCATCGTCATGCTTAGAGCAGAATAAATGAATTGTTCCCAAAGTTGAATGCTTCATCTTTACACTTCTTGGAGATATGCAAGTAAAAAAAAATTCTCTTCGATTTCACTTTCGTCTATATTTCGCATATATTTTTGATGAAGAATTCTGATACAAGCGAAAATTGTTTGAATAATTCTTATACAGAATTCGAAAATAACAGTTGACAGTTAATATAATTGACAGGCCAGACATGTCTCGAATAGCTGAAGCTGTGTTTGATGAACTGTGTGGCCATGGTATTGTGTTTAAGAAATCGTATTGCCATGGTAACGTGTTAAGTATTTTGAATAAATCACAGATCGTAATTTAGCGTGGTACATATCCGTACGCTAAATGCCATTTTATGGTCAGTTCATAGAAATTATTTATATTTAATTTATATTTAATTTTAACTTATCTTGAGAGTTCAAGCATTCCTTTCACTAAGATGCGTTCATAATGGGAAATTGAGCTGTTGACTTAAATTGAATATAAATGAGATTCCATGAACAGACCATGAGTTATGTGAGTAGAAAAATATATTTTTTCTGCAACCGACATGGACGACTTCATTTTAATACCAGAATTAGCTCTTGAATTGACGTTTCTATTATACTGACACGAAAATAGGTATGTTGCTAGGCAACATATTTAGTTCCTAGGAGCTGAAGTTGAACTTTTACTTGTTTTTGAATAATCACGGCAAGCAATAGTTTTTCGTCTCACGCAACGATATTGTTCATGCACCTCTATTTCATTATCAAGTCAAACACAGTGTTGTATGGAGAGGAATAAATAATCGCTATCATTATTGTTGATATGCTCACTAACCTAACATTTTCTACGTCTTGTTCCTATACCTGGCACTGGCGCGGTATTTGCCATTAGAGCACCTGGTCCATACACAAATATGTCACTCTGTGGTTGTATTTATATTGAAACTACTATTCGAACATTCATGGAAATTTCCTGACGGAGGGATCACTAATCTGTTAATTCAATAGTTTTCTTCAACTATTTACATATTCAATAGCAATTTGTCAATGAAAAAAAAAAAATGGTTCGCCTAATCCATGGTCTTAGACGAATGAATAGGTGGTTGTTCTCTATGAATAAAGGAATAAACAATAATTATTGTCCGATTTAATGAGAAAATGTTGACCAACCAAATGGTATTCTCCATCGCAAATGATTGTTAATTTATCAGTAGGCATAATTAGAATACAAAATATATTTCTCTGTCATATTCTCCTCATATCATGTCTTCAGTCCGTTTATTACTATAATTTTCAACTGAAAATTATTTGTTACCAACCCTATAGTTGTTACTATGCTGTTCCAGATGAGCCGCCTGACACTTGATATGTTTTTCCACATCAGCATCAGTATTATCTCCGAATTTCTACCCTCAAGCCTGTTCTCCAAGTCTGATCGATATTATAATAAGGATACAGACGAGAATACGTGCATGTGAAGGATGGAACAACTATATAGTTATTAGCGCAAGGGGAAATATATTAATGTAAGCTTAACAGAGAATAACACACCGACGAAGCCAGGATTTGGTAGACAATAACCTGTCGAGAGAGCCTTTAATGACCTGGATCCTGGATCGTGTAATATCAAAGCCACATACACAACGAGGAGTTGATGTTGATGGATTATTCTAGAAAATCATCCTAAAATGAATGGAAAATCTGTGTTGTCGGGCCAACGCAGAGATATCAGTGATATCCTCACCAAGTCAAAACTCACTATACAATACTACATTCTTAAGAAATATACAGGGTGAGTTATAACTAACCATCAGCCGTCATAGCCTAACGGCGAATAGAGGAAGTCAAGGTGAGTTGATATACAGTGTGTCCCAAATTCGATCCTTACCATTGGGATCTCAGTAACTATGAGAGATAGAGAAACGGTTAACTCAGCAAAGTTGTTGCAAATTTAATGTTGAATCAGAATCTATCAAGAAATCTAGGCTAGCTTCATTCATTCTTAAGTTATTTGAGAAAAAATGAAATCTTGTATTTTTGTTTTTCTCGAATATCTCGGAAACTATTGATTTTATGAAAAAATGACTTCAACATTCTAATAGCGCTATTTGGTGTTCTTTTTAATGGTTTTGTCAGTTTTCCATCAAAATGTCGAATTTTTTAGATATCACCTACAACTACGGTTTTTCTCACGGATGCCATATTGGATTTACACAGATTTGAAATCAGCATAAAATTTCCATTCTAGTGATGTATCACAGTTTTATCTATCTATAAACAATAACGATTATGTGTTCTGGCACAACTTTCATAGAGTAGGCTTGGAGCCAAGTGACATTTCTGTAAACGTCAAGAGAAAATACAAGTTAATTATTTCGGGGCAAACAATGCCGTTCACAAAAACCAGTAACAGTACAAGGGTTAAGACCTGGTGATAATGAACGTCGTCTCGAGTTTTGTCACTGGTTCGTCAACCAGTGTGAAAGAATCGATATGGATATCTCGAAAATCAATTCGGTGCTAAAGTAATTACTACTCATGGACCTGTTAGATGGCCTCCAAGGTCGCCTGATTGTACGCCTCTCGATTTTTACCTGTGGGGTTACGCCAAAAATAAAATTCATGAAGAGCCAATTCAAGATATTGATGATCTACGAGAGAGTGATGGATACATTCCAGCACATCAACAGAGTCCATCTGAGAAAAGAAGCGAATTATGTTCGCTCGAGAAATATTAAAATGTATCGAGAACAATGGGGGCCATTTCGAGCAGTTCAATATATTTTTTTAGTATTTGCATGTATTTGTATTATCCACCTGTTAAGTCATGCAAGAACATAGAGCACATATTCCATAATCTAAGATAAAAGTCATGGTGGAGTCAAGTAGTAACTAATAACACAACATAATGAATTGTCGTGGAGGTAACTGGACATAAAAACAAAAATTGGAAATCAGTACCCCAAATAAAATAAAACTGTGATTGTGATACATCACTAGAAAGGAAATTTTATGCTGATTTCAAATCTGTTAAAATCCAATATGGCGTTCATAAGAAAAATCGAAGTTGTAGGTGAAATCTCACAAATTTGACATTTTGATGGAAAACTGACAAAATCATTGAAAAGAACACCAAAAAGTGCTATGAGAATGTTGGAATCATTTTTTCCTAAAATTAATAGTTTCCGAGGTATTCGAACAAAACAAAAATACAAGATTTCAGTTTTTCTCAAATAACTCAAGAATGACTAAAGCTAAAGGTCCTTCTTCTTAAATATATGAAGAAGGATCATATCTTTACAAACGTACTGACCTAACTTGAACGTAGCCCCGTTGAATTTTCTATCAAATTCTGTATCTATCAAATGTATTTTCTATCATGAAACATTCGATCAAATGCATTTCTATCAACAACAATTTCGATCAAAAGACTTCTATCGAATGTTTTTCTATCATTTGTCTTTCGATCAGATTTCCGCCACCCAAATAATCTCCAATCGAAATCTGCTTCTACATGTGGAAATGTAGAAACATTGTACTCAATATGAGGAATGGGAAAGACCACTGATTTTTTAAAACGACTTTATCGTGAACCCTATACTGAAAAACTACCAGTGAATTAATTTTGAATTTTTTCATTCATACTAAGACGATGAAAAAAATAAATTAGTATATGTCCATTTCAAAACACACAATTCCTGCGCCATTTGAAATTTCATCAATTCATTGGTGTGACTGGTGCGACGTCTTAGTCCCAACACGCCTATTGTCCTTGAACTGACCAATTACACTGCAACACTGCAGAATGACGAGGTATCAGAGAGAGATAGCTACAGTTCGGGACTAATACGTCACGACTCCACCATCATATTTGGCTGTTTGAAATATCGAATGAAATATGCTGATTTCAAAACGATATAGATTCGATTCCCTTCAATTTCAACTCATAATATTGATTGTACATAAAATGTAAATCATGATTCGTCGATTGAAAGAGGTTTGCACGGATTTCTTCCCTCTGTGGTCTTTCCCATTATCGCTTAGGTGAAAGATTTTCATCCGAGTCAGATATACGCGCCTATACTCATACTACAATAGAGAAACTATTGAAGAACTATTGAATATGATCTCATCGCATGTGAACTCTCTCAATCAGTGGATTGAA